AGGACCGTTCGTCAGTGGACAACGTAAGTCAGAAGGATTGTAGTCGGCGGGCGATAGAGGTCAGAAGGACCATAGTCGACGGGTGCCGAAAGACATTGAAGGTATTAATGATGTCGGAATTCAATGATCTTGGGCTTGTTGGATTTGTCTCATCAAGTCGCTCGATTCAACTATAAGCATGCATGTTTGGAAAAGGTTTGGTAACTCAAATTGTGGTTCAAACTTTCCAACAACGCATCGGGTCTTTGATTTGGACCCATTTGAGCTCGGATCGAGTTGCATTTGGTGTCATTGGGTTTGTATTTCCGAGACGCTTAGTTCGACTATAAGTTTACTGAAATCGGAGTTCAGATGATCTCGAATTTAATTTTTGAAGTTTGCAACTAAATTTGTGCCCCGAGATTCGTGCCCGATCAAGATAATTTTTTTTGATGATATATCAAATTTATTTAAATATATATTGTCCAAGGTTGATCTAAAGAGATGTGCAACAAATTAGAGTTTACATGACTTCGCTATTTTTAATATATATATATATATATATATATTCTTCATTTTTAGGATTCGAATGGAACGATATTTTTACTACTTAAATCATTTTTTACTTTTTAGGACAAAAATTAAATAAAAAAATAATTTTTTTATACTAAAAAGTAAAAATTTACTTTAAGAAACAGCAAAGAAAGTTATCCAAAATTATGCCTTAATATGCTTTGAACAATAAATTAATTGAAAAAAGGGTAGGCTTCAACTTCTTTATCTAACTTTAGCTAAACGAGGAATCGAGGATTAATCCTAACATTAAAAATAAAATCAAAGATTAAAAAATATAACATATCGATATTTTTGAAATATAAAATTTTTAACTAAAAATTTACATTAGAAATTAATAAAAAAATTATCAACATATATATAGGCCGACAGTTTACAAATGAAGCCATATTTTTCAAATATAAAAGCATGAGCATCTCTTATTACCTTGAAAATATAAAAAAGAAAATATCTATTTTCATCAATTATTCGAGTATGTGCAAAAAACAATTTGAAATTAATATCAAATTTTAGGCCGACAGTTAGGCTCTGAAATCGTAATGATAGTTTAAAATTAATAGTGTTAAGCGTTTTCCTTTAAAACGCTTTTTTTTTCACGTTTTTAAAAGAAAATGCTAATTTTTTTGCGTTTCCAGGATTTTATGTAATAATAATAACCTTTTATGTATAATTAAATTTAATAATGTTGAAATTTAAAATTTTGAAAAAAAAGTATCATATTTTTAATTAAGTTTGATATATCTAAAAATTTTAATTAATCATGGAACAATTTAATTTTAATGCATTAGTAAACTTTGGGTCGACCTGAATACATAATTATATTCATTTAAATTAATAATGCAAAAATTAAGTTTAAATTATTATAATTCATCATTATTAAATATAATTAATATAAGAGAATGTTAAATTACTTTAATTTAAATTTAATAGGTAATTATTATTACACAATATTTTTATTACTTAATTATATTTAATCATTTATACAATAAGCATATCATTAAAATTTGAATATACTTTTCTTTAATCAATTATTAATTCAATTTATTAAATATTTAACATAACTAATAATACAATATAAACAAACTTAATTACAAATAAACGTTATTTTATAATAAATTATTAATTTATTTTATTAAATTTTTTTAATGTCCTAATTTAAAATTTTCTATTAAAAAGATGATTTTCAACTTCAAAGTATATTAACATTGTTTGAGTAAAAAAATCATTGGTCTTAGATCATTTGTTCATTCACTTATAGTCTTGAAGTTTTCAAATATATTTCACGCTATTGATTTGGGCGAATTTAGGCTTGGATTGGATCAATTTTGATGTCATTAGGTTCGCCTCATCTAGACGCTCAATTTGACTATAAATTTGATATAGGTGGAGATTAAATGATCCCAATTTTAATTATAAAAAATTGAAATTCAAATATGCCTCAAGATTTGTGCCTTATCAAGCTGATTTTGATGACGATTCAACATTGATGTAAATTGTGAATTGTTGTGGCATACAAATTAAAAAATTGAACTAATTTAAGTAGATGTTTCTAGAAAAATGAAAAGAAATGAATCAAAACATTATGATCAAATTTGATTAGAAAAAATTAAAAATATATAATATAATATTTAAATTATTGCAATTCATTACTTAAATTAGAATTAATTAATATATTTGTAGAAAATTGTGTAATAGAATAATTCAATATTAAAATGTTTATATATAATAAGCAAATTATTATCACAACTAAATTAATAAATTCAAATTTTTAGTAACAGTCTTATAAAATATATTTATATTGTAAAGACATGACACTCATCCTCAATAGGGATGTCAAAAAAGATTGATGAGTCAGATTCAGGTCGAATCCAAAATTGAAACGACATGAATCTAGTTAATTTGAATCAAACTAGTTAGCAACCTGAATGATCCAGATCATACCCGTTAACTCGTTTTGATTTTAAAAAAATTATAATTATTTATTTTTTGTTTTTTTAAATCAAAAGTAAATATTATTAGACAAAGGTCCAATAAAGCACACGGCCAAAGCACCAAAACAGGCCAATGAAAATAAAAGTACAACCATAGGATTACAATTCTCGAAAGGGCCGAAATTTTAAAAACAAGTAAGTAAGACGGACTCAGTCCACCACCTGGTTGCCATGCATGAGCTATATATCCAAGGAGGAAAAAAAAGGAAACATCCAAAATCAAAATTTTGCAAAACTGAAACCTCTGCCAAGGTTGCGCACCAAGCCCAAGCTATCTAAGGCGCGCACAGGAAACTTGATTCATCATTGTCTAGACCCCAATGTTGTGCCGCACTTAATGTAAATCCAAAATAACCAACAAAGTCAAAGCCTGGCAAAGACCCAAAGGAATTTTTTTTTTTTTTGCCTTACGATTTCTAGACTTATCTTTCTTTTTAAGAAAGCCATCATATGCAATTAGAAGAGCACTCATAGCTAACTCATTAGTCTCCTTCCCACCGTCTGAATAAAAACCCTCATTAAGATCTAGCCAATCACATTGCTCCAAAGCATTATCACCTGCAAGAGCCAACATGCCAGTACTAGAAACAAAAACTACAAGAACATCAACCAAATGTCCCCTAACACCATCAGCCTCCACCCCAATGCTCACAGCTTCGAAAAACCCAAGCCATCTGAAGAAGGATCACCCCCTGACCCATGACCTGCAAGAAATTCATCCCAGAATCAACAAGCAGAGGAATAACACCCTCATTAATGTCTCCAATCGAATCAGGAGTGCCACTAGGACAAACTACCATATTAGTTAAGCAATTGTAAGGTTCATCAACCTCACCAACATTAGGACCAGGCGCCACATTCTCGTCACCCTTCAAAGGAGAAATCAAAACCAACACAACATTAAAATCCAACTTAAGCTCTAAATCATTGGCCTCAATAGACACAACAATATCGAACTCCACACCTAATTCATTCACACCAGAGTCCTCACAAACAAGACCAATAGGGGCCACAACCACAAGATCAGACGAAACATCCGCAAGGCCAAGAAGCACACGAATGACTTCCCACCCTCACGCAGCACACTATTAACTTTAATAGTATGCAGAGTCATAGTAGAATAAGAATCAATGTGAGGATCCAAAATCAGACAATCAATATTTGAATGACCCAAAGAATAGCAATGCGTACAATAATCAGAGAAATCTTCCAAAATCATAGACTGTACGTAACCTATATTATCTGGGCCAATCCAAATTTTATTAGAAATTTATTTGGTCACATCCAGTTCGCTAAAACACAAGCAATGGAAGGACGCGAACCAGAAGAAGTCGCGTTATCAATCTTAAAGGGTTTACCAAAAAAGGAGCCAAGCCATGAAGAATACGCGGAGCGAAAAGGTGATGCCGAAAATTAGGAAAAGAGATCCAAATAAGGATGACAGACGATTCAACCTCAATGTTCAAGGAAGGAGTCCATTTAACCAATTTCATATTGCAATTACTCATGAAATAAGACCGATAAGCAAAAATCCTACATTAATCCATGTTGTTAAAGAGTTTAATCAAAACATTCAGTTGGTTCAGAACAGTAACAAAACAATCACCATTAAGTTTGAGGTTGAAGAAGAAATTCCTAATAGTATCAAGAGATGGCCTCCGGCCAAGGAATTTACCAACAAGGGTGAATTCAAAAGGAACAACAAGAGAAAGAATTTCCGCTTCTGAAATCCACCAGTGGAAAGAAACTTTAAGGTCCAGAAAAGAGACAAAAGAAGGAGACGCGCCACATAAGTTATCTTTAAAAAAAGAGAGGAGGATCCATTCAAAAAATCAGGATCTCTAAATCGGGGAGGCGCCATAAATCTGAACAGATAACAAACAACAAAGAATTTAAAAAAAAAAAAAACAAAAAAGCAAAAAAACAAAAAGAGAAGAAGGAACTTCCCTGAAGCATGCGAGGTGCACAGCCAGATGAAAGTGAGGACGCAGCAAAACAACACATCTAGGTTGAGAAAGAGCTGCAAGAGGCGACTAGGGCGAAGCCCTAATACGCCCCAGAGACAACGGAAGAGAAACCATGGGGGACTTTTGCTAAATGTATAACTTTCATATAATTTATTAATTATAAAAGTTGATATATTTTATCTTAGGTTAAAAACGGGTTTACAAATTAATTTAATTCCAACTCTTTTACTAAATAGGTTGAAAATTCAATAAAATCTGACTCATTTTTTATTTACGCCACCTAAATTTACAATCATAGAAACAAAAATCAGACCACATGAAAAAATTATTCTGTGCGGAAACGGAACTCGTCCGGATGCTTAAATCCGCGGCTCGATATCTCTTGATACTGAGTGTCAGTACCACTTGATCGCTGACATGACTCATTTTAATTGATATCCCAATATAGTGGATCCACATAAAATAATCTCTCGACCGCATGGCCGGCTAGCGTGCGAGGTGAGGAGATAGCTTTTTCTTTCCCGAAAATATCTAGGGAGCAGCGGTGGCACCCAAGGAGATATTGTCTGTCCTGCCACGTGTCTTCCGTTCGCACTGTCACGTGTTAAAGTGTTGCCATGCGGGATCCGCTTCGGCCCCAATTTTCCTTCATCACTCTGTCTTCTGTTCTCTTCGTATCGATTTCTCTCATTACACCGGAAATTAAGCTGCTGGAAATTCTGGATTTTGGAGGTTCTGTGCTCGTCTTCGCTTTATTTCCCCTCATTTTTTTACTCTATATAGGTATTTTTGTGGGTTAATCCGCTTAGCTTTGTGTCTTTCAGTATCGATTTTGGGAGCTGAGGTGGAGATTTTGTAGATATTTTGGGATTAATGGAGGGCCGAGACTTGAAGCAGCCGGATCGATCTTCCCTGGGGAAGAGCTGTGATAACAGAAACCCTAGATCGGTAATCGGTGTTTTCTTCTATACTATGCTTTGTTTTTTTTCTGGAATTTCGCAAATGTGAGATCTTACTGTTTGCTAGTGCTTTTATGTGTCTAAAATTTGATTCAGTTGGAAAATATGGTTAAATGTTTGGTTAATTTTTTACGGGATGGTGTTTTTGTGAGAACAAGGGTTTGGTTGTGTGACGATTTGATGGTGAGTCGAACACAGATGGCCTTCATGAAGTTTTATTGTTTTATTCATCTCATTTTTGTAAAAATGTATGCCCTTGGCTTGGAAGTATTGTTCTTCCCACAGTAGTGATGGCAGTAGATTCATTATTAATCTCATTATCATAAGCCGTTTCTTCATTTTGACAACTTTGCTTTAATTCTTCCAATATCCATTAAAAATTGTATAATTGTTCAGCCAGTATATCTAAATTTCATGCTTTGGTGTCACCTGATCCTCTGATGTAATTGGTTGATCATTATTAATTATACTAACACTTAAATTGTATGCCAAATTAGTGAATTTTTTGTTTAGTAGATATTTACAAAGGTAATAGGAAAAGCCAAAGAAGGGCTTTCCTAAAGCTACAAGACCTTCTTAATAACTCGATGGTATTAATGCTTATAGTTTGGCTACTGACATCCATTCTCAATCTGTTAATGGCAGTATGCACACAGACTCAGTTTTCTTACCTAATTTCAAGTGCAAACAATTGGGTTCATTTGCTTGTTGAACATTTTTGCAAGCACTTGCGGAAGTAAAATGGTACTATATCTTTTAAGATGATATAGAACTATAGAAGTTTCAATATTTTCTGGAATTCTGAATTTGTTTATTGAACTGTATTTTTTGGTTTGTTTATAGGAATTCGACTTTGAACTTTGAGATTCATGGTAGAACTTATAGTAATCAGCAATGCAGCTTATGTTGTTAACTAATAAATCTGAAAACCTCCAGTAGTTGAGACAGATATGATTATTAAAAATAAAAGAATGATAATCCTGTATTGACAACTAGAAGCTCAAGTTTATGAACTAATTATGTTGACATTATACTTTGAGAAAAAAAAAATAATCGGATAATAGTGACCGATAATCGGCAGTAATTGAAATATACAATTTGAAAGAAAAGAATAATAAGCATTCTTATACCGTAGGATAGTTCAAGCAATAAGGAAATTGCATGCAGCTTATATTTGAGAAAATTGTCTGCAGTATTAGATTAATACGGTCCCCTCGAAATAAAGTTAAAATGGGTAAGGGCTAGGAAATTATATTAGAGGTAGCTATTGTAAAGAAAGTAATATTTCTTATTGTATCAGCTTTCCTCCAAGAGTTGGGATACTTTTTCCTTGTTATTTGAAGGTTTGTGCGTCTTACACTATTGATATCTTGATAATATATGCTTTGTATGCTAAGGACAAAATGCATTCATTAAAGTAAACTAGCATCATAATCACAAACATTCATACTAGAACAAGTGTTTATATTGATTTTTGATTTGTCGTTCAATATACTTGGCGGTTTGCATAATTTCGCTGAAGTATATGAGATTTGTTTGTGGCTACATAGCAAAAGCTAATTCATCTGAGGTGTGAGAAGAAGGCATGGGGAGACCATACATTAACTTAAATGGGGCGAGGTTACTAAAATCTTATAATGTAGTCATCTGCTTCTCTCATCCAAATGCATTTGAATTGAAGTTTGACCGGCATTGTAAATCTGAACATTAGTTTCTGCTTGTGCTCATGTTTAAATACTTTGTCTCAATGGGTAAATGCAATGCAACCATTTTACAAAAAAAAAAAAATATATGATTTTTTTTTTAACTTCATAAATGTAATTTTAGACCACCAAACAGATGAACTTTTTTTTTTTTTTGGAAACCCACAGAAAGGCCTACGCGTTAATTAAAAAGAGGGATTACATGGTCCTTAAGGGGAACCTTCAGCTCACTAATGCTTAGAAGAGCTACAACAAAAATCAAAATAAAACCTACGAGCCGATGGTCCCACTATTATGATATACAAAATGACCTAGTAACAATCTAGGGTTGCTAGAAGGCAACACCCAAAAAAGGAAGCCAAAAAGGTCGGAGATCAACGCCCTCTTCCTACAAAAAATTGAAATAACATCCATGAAATCCTTGTTCCACTGAACCTTCATCTTAAGATAACTGCAAACGGCAATCCATAATATCAAAAGAAAAAAGAACACATGAATATTGTAATAAGATAACATATGAAACCAGTTCAAGCCCCAATTGAAAATGATCAAGATGGTCTTAGTAAAAAAAGTGAAAAAAAAAACCTTCTTACTCCCTTTCAAAGCAACTATATTAGAGAAAAAGAAGCAATAACAGTTGCAGTAGTTTTGATAGTAATCGGGCAGACTGTGCATGGAGAGAATCACCTTCCAATCATTTAACGTATAGACAACCACGATACAAAGGCAACACCATCTAAGCAACCACTTAAGAATGTAATGTTGCTAGGTTGATAGGCCGGTGCATCCTAAATCGGCCCAAGAACCCCCTTTGATTGCCGCCCACGTGTGAGGCCCGCTTGGAACAATTGAGGAAGGAGAATTGGGTTGCTAGGGAGAGAGGAAATTTTTGAATGGGAGAGATTTGAATTAGGTTTGAATTAGGAAACTAATTGTATTAAGAAGGGGATTTGTCTAGGGTTAGTTTTCATGCTTGTTTTGGTTTTCTATTGGATTTTCTTTGGCGCCTTGGGCTCTAGGTACTTTTTCTAGAGATTGGGAGAGAACGACCCTCCTCTCGAATTGAGGATTAATTGTATCTTGTTTGGTATTTGTTTTGGCTTATTTCTATTCTTGCAATCTACTGTTTTTGGTTGTTTTCGCCCAGATTTTGTAATTATCTTGCTGTTTTCACCAATTAGTGATAGGTTTGCTTGCGAACTCAAGTATTTCCCTTAGGGTTACTTGAGAACTCAAGTATTTCCTATCACAGGTCCAACATACCTGACACATGTAAACCCAACCAAGATAAGACTCCAAGAACAAAAACATAGCTCTGGAAAAAATGAAGTCACTGCAGTTTATCCACCCAGTTAAAAATCGTGTATATTACTGAATGTTCCAACCAGACAAAGTAGCACAAAGCATAATGAGACGGTCCAGATTAATACTCAAAACAATAACCATAATAACAAAAACCATTCCAACAGTAATAATTGGCTGAATGTTAAAAAGATCCTGCTTAGAGTGAACCACAGCAGCAATCATATAAACCCAGTTAGAACTGAAAAACCTAAAATTGACAAAGAAACAACAACAAAAACAAAAGCATCACTTATCTACTTCTGACATACGGAAAACCCAAACGATCAAGCCGAGATATGCCAACAATATTGATAGGGAGATTAGAACCCATAAACTCCCTAAAATCCAGCAGATTGCAATCAAAATTCGCTAAAAAATCAACAGCAGAGTTGGCTTCTCTATAGATGTGAGTGATAGAATAATTAATACCCGCAAGGCATTGTTTAATAGCTCTTATGGTATAAAAATAACATGGTTTAACATTAATTTTACCAATAATGTAATGCATGACCACCATAGCATCCACTTCAATCCAAAGATTAACAATCCCTAAAGAGGAACATAATTGCACACCATAACTTAAAGCATGAAGCTCCGCCAAAATGGCATTACTTGCAATCGACGGGCCAGCAAAAGCAACAAGAACTTGGCCATTATGATCACGAATCAACCCACCATAGCCGGCTTTACCCAATTTTAAAGACCCATCCACATTAAGTTTGAAGAACCCATTATGAGGCTTAATCCATTTAATAATAGTATCTTTACGAAAACTAGCAGTGTACATGAAATTGTTACCAAAAATCTAAGAAAGAGTATGACAATCAGTAAAAGAAGTATTATTAATCTAAGTTTGCCTAATATAATTGTTTAATCTTATCTTTAACCTTGATGATAATGCTATTAACATTCATATGTATGTTCTTATGTTTCGACTCATTCCTACTCTTCCAAAGAAACCAACAAATAATAACAGGTAAAAGTTACGGATATGGTTCTTCCGAAAAGTAAGCCAATCTTTAAAAATATTTTTAATATTGTTATATTCTTTACAAATAAGGGTATTAAAGACACTTTCAAAATAAATCAAAACTTTCAGAGCAATGGACCCATTAGCAAACACGTGATTTAAAGTTTCCAAGTGATAACAATACTAGCATTTAGAAACAATGCAAAAACCCTTCTTGCTAAGAATAGTATCAACAGGTATATAATTATTGAATATTCTCCAAATGAGAATAGAGAAAGAGATGGGAATACCTTTCTGTCAAACAGTAGACAAAATATGGATTTTAGGTTTAACATCCCTAATAGCATGCCAAACCTCCTTGAAAGAGAAACTACCATCAATGGATTTGTTAAAAAGAATACAATCACTCTTATCAAGTTGGAGGGGGATTTTCAAAATAAGAGAGATGATGGAATCGGGTACCTGATCCGCAAGGCAATGAACATTAATAAAATAAAAAACTTTAGAAGTACTAATAGAGTGAGTATTAAGTAAATTATCAATGGAAGCGGAACCTAACCAATTGTCTTGCCAACAGAAAATGTCTCCTAAACTCAAACCCCATTGAATGAAGCTTTCAGCATCCCATTTGATGGAACTCATTCTCTTCCAATTAAAGGAATTGCCCTTTTTGAAGTAGCAGCTAAGAGGATGCTTGCCCATACAATATTTTTAAATTCATAACTGGACCCATAAGCTAATATTGGATCTAAAATTGAACCACATCTTATAAGAGGAAGCACGAGCCATATCACTCAAGTTCTTAAGACCAAGTTTACCTTCCTCTTGGACGCCAGAACAATTATCCCAAGAAGCCCAAATAATAGCAGACTTACCCTCTTTACTGCCCCAAAGGAATTTGTTGAAAATTCTTTCCATCCTACTACAAATAGTCATAGTAGGATATAAAGTATGAAAAAGATAGATAAAAAT